GTGTGTGTGTGTGTGTGTGTGTGTGTGTGTGTGTGTGTGTGTGTGTGTGTGTGCCTGCGCACTTGCTTGGTAGCAAAATACCTTCTGAACCAAATGGACATAACAAAACATTCAAAAAGTAATCGCTGGAGGAATGGCTAAATCTGAACAACTTTTTGAGGCAACTTGATTCAATATGGCTGCCAAAGCTTATCAGCATTAGCAAGCTTCAAAAATGCTCAGTCAYTTTTACAAACATTGAGTTAAAATTTGATGTAATTGTTGCTGAGCGTATTCCACATCACATACTCTGAGCGCTCACAGATCACATGAGGCTTTGTTGAAAATGAAGACATAATGCAGCAGGGAATTTACATTATTTTAGATTACAAATCTTAGTTTTAAAAAAATCTTGCATTTAGCTCAAAATGTTTTTCTTTTACACTGATAAAATTGTACTTTTTCAAATAGAAAAAGAAAATTATATTTTCATTCTGGAGTCATACATGAACAATTTGTCATGATGATGATGGCAGAGATGTCAACACCATCAAACGGTCTCACAAAGATGTCACTTTTGATCACTTTTTCTCTTCAGTGTAAACTATTRGTTGTTCAGGTTACGATAAAAACAGTATTGAGTTTAGAGAATTACYTCTTTTCAGCTGATGGTTGTTTTACTGCTGATTTGATGTTTTAACATCTCAGGTCAACTTTAGACTTAAAAACCTCAAGCACACAATAAAAATAAAATACTCCATTAATTCTAAAGAAACYTATATGCACATTTGTTTCAGATAAAATGATCAAATAGATTCAGAGTTAGACTAAATGTGTATTATGAAGAACCATTCATAAAAACCTTAGAAATGAGCAAAAGCAAAGGTGACAAAAAGTTTCCTGTTATAAGTTCAAATTTCACAACCTCATGTAAAAATAAAACAATCCYAGAGCTATGTATTTGTTTTAGATAAAATTATTAAAATTCAAAATTAGACTAACTAAAGATGATGGGGAACCATGTTTTAAAATCATGTGAGCAATGTGAAATCAAGTATTGTGCTCTTGTTAAAATATAAGCAGTGTTCGTTACCCTTTACCTGTTCAGACCTGATACCAGATAGTAATGTGAATGTTTGAGTGAGCCATAAAAAAACATTCTGACACAGCCGTGGACTGTCTAGCTCTTTACTGTGCCTTCAACAGGCATCAACCAAACAGTGAAACCCGGAAACACACATCATGTAACAGCCTTCTTCACACCCTGACTCCACCTCGTGACATAAATCAAAGGGGCAGGCTGTCTCTACACGGAGTGAAAATGTCAGACATCGCCTCTCACCCTAATGGTTCATTACAGTTCTTATTTATGTGTTGTTTTTAAGTCAGACGTGTATCTATTAACAGCTTCCTGAGTCTGTGAGACCCCGCTCAAGAGCCTCACACAGCCCAGTCTGCACATAAAACCATCAATTAAGTCAGAGATAAACACATTATAGAAATATATTACTGTTCACCTAATAAAAGACTATACAATGTGTGGTGTTTTTAAAAGTCAGTAGTAAACACCCCAGACACTTACCCACCAGGATGGTTACCCACCAGGACACCTACCCACCAGGACACTTACCCCCCAGACACTTACCCCCTAGAAACTTACCCCCCAGGACACTTATCCACCAGGACACTTACTCACCAGGACACTTACACCCCCAGTCACTTACCCACCAGGACACTTACCACCCAGGACACTTACGCAACAGGACACTTACCCACCAGGACACTTACCCCCCAGACACTTACCTCCCAGGACACTTACCCACCAGGACACTTACCCCCCAGACACTTACCCCCCGGGACACTTACCCCACAGGACACTTACTCACCAGGACACTTACCCCCCCAGGACACTTACCCCCCAGACACTTACCGTCCAGGACAATTACTCACCATGACACTTACACACCAGGACGCTTACCCACCAGGACACTTACCCCTCAGGACACTTACCCCACAGGACACTTACCCACCAGGACACTTACCCAACCGGACACTTACCCCCCAGACACTTACCCACCAGGACACTTACCCAACAGGACACTTACCCCCCAGACACTTACCCACCAGGACACTTACCCACCAAGACACTTACCCCCCAGGACACTTACCCCCCAGACACTTACCCACCAGGACACTTACCCACCAGGATACTTACCCCCCAGACACTTACCCACCAGGACACTTACCCCCCAGGACACTTACCCACCAGGACACTTACCCACTAGGACAATTACCCTGCAGGACACTTACCCCCAGGACACTTACCCACCAGGACACTTACCCCTCAGGACAATTACCCCCCAGGACACTTACCCACCAGGACACTTACCCCCCAGGACACTTACCCACCAGGACACTTACCCACTAGGACACTTACCCCTCAGGACACTTACCCCCCAGGACACTTACCCACTAGGACACTTACCCCTCAGGACACTTACCCCTCAGGACACTTACCCACTAGGACACTTACCCACCAGGACACTTACCCACCAGGACACTTACCCTGCAGGACACTTACCCCTCAGGACACTTACCCACTAGGACACTTACCCACCAGGACACTTACCCACCAGGACACTTACCCTGCAGGACACTTACCCCTCAGGACACTTACCCACCAGGACACTTACCCACTAGGACACTTACCCCCCAGGACACTTACCCATCAGGACACTTACCCACCAGGACACTTACCCCTCAGGACACTTACCCCCCCAGGACACTTACCCCCCCAGGACACTTACCCACTAGGACACTTACCCCTCAGGACAC